GTCGTACTTTGCAGGCATAGGAGTCTTCTACCAAAATATCGATTAGTGGCGTTTTTCGATGTGGCAACTCTTGCTTTAAAGTTTGTCTTTTTAGCAGTTTACTCTGTCTGGCTTGCAACATTATCGGCACTCTGGGATCTTTTTGCTATACGGGACAAGATTTATGCAAATTTCGCTTGCAACTTATAGATCTATATTTTACCGTTTCTCGTGAGTAATTTCACAAATTGTTTACTGCAGTAGAGTTGCCAGGGATCATTTTCGCCCTCATTCTCTAGTTACTCCCTGTTAGTTGATTTTGGCCTTCCCCTCCCCCCCCCCCCCCTTGGATGCTCATCCAATTTCCCTGTGGTTGCTCTAGCACGATTTTCAGTCCCAGTATCCCTATGAGGTGTCTTTTCACAATCGATTGCCGGTGGCCGCCTTCACTGATTTTTGATTGCGTCCCCCATCCGTTTGATGTCAGCTTCCCCAGAAAGTTTAGTCTGTTGTCCCCATAGTCTCTGAACTCCAATCTCCCCTCTATCGGTTCAGATTGGCATTTGATGTCCGTTGATTCCAAGCATCAACTTTAGGCCAGCTATTTTCATGTGCGTTTCTTGCTTCTGTTTCATTGCTATCACCATGTTATTATCTGAGCTCTCCGATGACCAGCGATGCTTGCGAGTCTTCTTCACAAACCCTACCGAGTTCGTGTGTTGGGAAAATGTTTCTTCCGAGGGATCGGTCCTCTGCGTCAAATGCGTTCTCCCCTTTGATCGTTTCACGTGAGCGGCGTGCCTGTGGCACCTTGTAAGTGATCCGGCTTGAAATTCGGCTGGTTACAGTTGTACCATTTCCTGTCGTGCTGTCTCATTCCACACTTCTTGGGAAATTTCTACGACCACTCCTTGACTATACTTTTTTTCTTCGTCCGGGAATGTTGCTTACTGGTTCGGATTTTATCTACAAGGTCCCTGCTGGTCCTGTATGTCCTGACGATTGTCTTGATTGTCCAACTTGCTGGAACCTTTTAGAGTACTTGTCCCCTCTTTCATGAAACCTTGCTATTCCCAATGCCTCTTCTGGGGGTTTTGCTTCTATCGCATGTTGAATATCAAATTGTCCCTCAACAATTTTTTCATATTCCCAGATAGCGTCTAGCCGCCATTCCGCTCAACTCCGCGTAATTTGCATATTCAGGCGAAGGTGCTGGTTGTGCTGGGCCCGTTGGGCTTCATGTCTCTAGCATAAATATGGGCTCGAAATTAGGGTTCATCTGGCGCCAGACGCCCTATATTTGCTGTTGACAGCGTATCCGCAAAGTATAGATTGGTCGGTACTAGGACGTGTTTTGCCATTATCGCCCAGTGGAATCCTTGTTTTGAATGCTCCCATAGGAGTTAGTCAGAATGCGCCAATCCTAGGGGGTTTTCCCACATCCCATCAGCCGTTGGCTGCGCAATGACAAGCGTTACGAAAAGATATCTTAGAAGAGTTAAATTACTGGCTAATTTTTGTTCAATAATATTAATCTAAAATTGTGGTTTAGAGATTAACACTGCGATGATTCATAGCTAGGTACCTTTCGTAGTTTACAGAATCAGACTATATGACTAATTAATATATAGTAAGTTCAAATGAACTTATTGTGAGCCCTGGCCCAATCTTTTTTTTTGTGGCTTATGTTGTGCGGCTGCCATATTTTTTTTTCATTAGCGTACAAGTATCAATAATTGATGGGTGCCGGACATCAAGCCGACGGGACTTCAAGCCGAATCGTAAAATTAGGGACTTAAAGCCGAAAATTTTTTCATTAGGTGATGAGATAAGATTAATTTGAAACCCTTTTTAAAGAATTTCTTACTATTATGATGTTTTTTTTTCAGTAATTAATGGCTTTTTCATTAAATTTAAGCCTCCAAATGATGTTTAGGAAAGTTGAAATATAAAACACGGTTGAAGGCAATTTTCTTGTTTATAATTTATGCATTTCAAAAACCGTCTGAAATTATTAACGAATGCCAATCCTAAGTGATTCATTGTCATGAATAACGCTGATTATGGACTAAACGTGCCTAAATTTTTGAAAAGCAACGTTTTACAGATGAAAAGATTGTAATTTGAGGTGCTTGTAAAGTTTAAATTTTGGCCTGAAGTCCCTTCGGCTTGAAGTCCCGTCGGCTTGTTGTCCTCAGGGGCTCCGTAAAATTTATTTCCATTATATGGCTACTAGCCCCTAAATTATTTCCCTAACTTTTTGGAATCCCTAAATAATTTTTATTTCTCAGAAAAAAAAAATAATGGCCATAATTAAATTATTCCAAAATGAAAAAAAAAAAATAAAATGGCACAGTGGAATAATGTGAGTTTCTCACAAAATTTTGGATATGAGTTCAGCGTCCCAGTACTCTTTGTTGACGCAGAGGAACAGCTCTGCCTCAACGTGCATTGGACCGGAGGGCACCGCTTTTCTTCAATGACGACATCTTGAGCATAGTAGCATGAATTTTGTCCAGTAAATCTTCATAGTTGTTCATAAAGATGTTCACCGCCAAGTTCAACCGGTGGCTAGCACACCCTACCATCGGTACTTTCAATACTCTTGCCAGCGCCTTGTTCAAGTTCTCGTTATCGGCCACTAAACCCAGCACACATGACAAAGATTTACCGTATAGTCCCAGCGTACCTATTATAAACTCGTAGTGAGTCGCGGCAGTAAGTGATTCTTCGTCTTGCAATGGGGAGACCGCCAATAAGGGTGTTTTTCTTTTCTGTGTAGCCTCGTCAAAGTAGCACGCAAAAATCGCGAAATAATGAACAGAATCGGAAGTCCACCCATCGCCCACCAGAAAGAATTTTTCAGGAAGTGCGCTCGCAATTGCCTTCTCAACTTCTTCCACGGTCTTGTCTACATAATTAATAAGAGTATCCACTGATATGGGCTGTAAACCAGTGGCAAATTTCCTTGTATACTCATTTTCGCAGAATGAAAATGGATGATGGCCCATTATTATCCATTCCAGCCAGTTGTAGATGTTTTGCCCTTTTTTGCTGATGTTCGAGTTGTTGGAAGGTATAGTCTGCTGCCCAGTGCCCAACGGAACCTCTGTCTGCCAATTTGGGTGATCAACTTGGATATGGCTTATCAAATTTGAAAACCCTTTTTTCAGCTTCTGTTTTCGATTTCGCCCACATCTGCATTTCCAGTTCTCACCTTCCACATGCGTGAAGTAATATTTAATAACGTGCTTATTCATGCCAACACTGTGTGCACATGCAGAACTGAAAGGTAAACAACACTGCGAGAAAGTAAAGTGGAAGGATTTTCGCAGCAGCTTGCATTTGGTTGACGTAATGAATGACGTAATGATGTGACGCGTTGTTCGCAGTGAACCTTAGATAAAATAATTTCTGGAATTATTGTAATATTCCATACGCGAGAAATAAATAATTTCCCTAAAAGTTCTCGAAAAATACATAATTTTTATTTTAAATTAGTCGAAATAAATTATTTATCAAAAATTATTCCACTACCATTATTTTTACGGAGCCCCTGGTTGTCCTAGACCCATAATTGATATAACTAATGATGATAACTGATAATCTATTGTGGCATGGTTTTATCATAGATTTTTTTACAGATCTTTACAAAATGAGTGAGAAATGTGAATTATGCGATTATTTTTCCAGCACGCTCGAGAATGACCATGCAATGAGCTTGATTGGTGTCAAGCTTTTGATTGTGTTGAGATTCTTCGGTCAAATTGTGTTTCGACGATTAAATTTATGTCGAATATGGGCATACAGTTTTTACATATATCTGTACAGTTTTTACCTATATATTTTTGTACAGAATGCGGCTAACGTTGTTTTACCAACACTAAGTGTTTTGTTTCTGGAATTGGAAAACTTGGTTCTGTCGTTGATGTTTTTTTTTTCAATTCTGATATTGGATTGGCTTACGATTGGGAAGATATTGATTTCGACGTATTTTTTGAAACTGCTTTTAGCACTTTTGGATAATTGATTTTTTCCTTTTTTGCCAACGAAAACGGTGGTACGTGGCTAAGGGAAATTTTGATGGTTCAGGGGCCCTATGCCTGGTGCTTGGTGCGGTAATCTTAGTCAGCCAATAAGCTTAACCAAATTATCTCGTAGATGAATTGTCCCAAACAGTAAATGTAACCGTTTCTGTTATAGAGTAATGAGTGGGTTAAGACTCTTTTATAGGTCTCGTTGATTTTTTTTTGGAATTTTTTAAAGAAAAAGCCGTAAAGTTTGTTCACGCTCAATTTGGATTTTCTTGCGGTTTGGCATTAATTTCTTTTTAAATTTCAGTTCATTTCCATTGTTGAAAGGAAGACAAACTCCACATTTGAACACACGTGTACAAGTCATGAAAAACGTGATTGACTTCTTGTTTCGAAAGTGGATTTTATTTTATAGATTTCCCAATGGACTAAAAAAAATTATCTATTGATTCAGTTTATCCTGTATTGCATGTGTATTAGCTCATTTTTTTTGACAGTTTTCAAATTGATAATTTATGATTTGAGTGCTATTTTTGTCTTTTATGGCCGTAATAGAAATCATTCATGAATCTTGTGAAACAACTTCAGTGTATCAAACATCTCAAAATCATTATCTCAAACTAATTTGCGTTCATATTTATGCAGTCATCTCTTTCATTTTTGTTTAAACAGCCAGAGGCTATATGTTAATGAACTTTAATTTACTTGGCTTCAAATTGTATGCTCATAATATTCGCAGGGATTTCCGAAGTTTAGGTCAATCGAAATTGTTTTCTAAGCTCTCCAAACCGCGAAATTTCTTGCTTTTTTCTGGCAATTTTTGTATAGTTGGTCCGACAAAATGGGCGTCGTAAAATGATTTCAAGGTGTAAACGTGTTGAAATGGCGAAGTAATTGAATTCTTAAGTGGCGGATCGCTGTACACTCTATCTCCTCAATTCGCCCGTGTGTTCCAGTAAAAATACGATTTTTGCCGTGACGTTTTGTGCCGGCTTAATCGCCAATGGCATACAATGGTGCCCGCTTGTCTATGGCATATTTTGGTTCTTATATATCATCGGCAGAGTGCAGTAACTTTTTGCTGACTTTGTTTGATGCTGAGGTTGGTTAGTAGCTTGTGAGAATATATGAATGTGAGAGCTTTATAAGTTACTTGACAATGCATGGGAAGTGCTTTCAAGGAATCACAGATTTATACAAAGTATTGGAGCTGAAACGCAGCTTTGTTTGACCGACCACCGAGTGATGGTACAATAAATATTTACAAATGCTAAATCTCTGCAAAGCTTGGATAGTTATTTCATTGTAACAAATTGAGCTTCAAATTTGAATAAGAGTCCAACATCAGTTGAGAACCATAATAGAAAAGTTATTTTATTTTCGCGTTTTTTGTCATTATTTATGACCTCAAATTTTGAATGACAGCTGAGCGTAAGGCTTTTTATCTGCTTAAAAAGGTTAGTTAAATTACGTTATTCTACATTTCTCCTTTTTTGGATATTTTTTATTGAAGTTTTAAGGGCTATTTTTAACATGTGATCAAACACCGCTAGTTTTACCATGATCGAACTTCAAATTCTTCTGTGCTGTTAGCTGAATATTTAATAAAACCGCATAACACGGTTAAACTTTAGTGGCTACTTTTTCAGTGGTCATGCTATTATTGCTGTGCGATAGAACAAGCGAAGAGTGCGAGAAGAGTATGAAGTTGATTATAAATATTTCAAAATAGATCGATTGGTAGATGACGTCGAGCAGGACTGAAACCACAACTGAAACTACGGAAAAGCTGTTTCCGATCTCCAACACACATTCTATGACGCAGGTAAATAACTTGTGTTTCTCCAATACAATTTTGATAACAATTTGCGAAAAATCGGAACCAGTTTTTTTTTCGTATGAACTGTTCCTTTGCTATATTTGAAGTTTTTTTGAACGTAATCAGAATCCATTCGAGCATCTCGCACGTTGACAATTGCCGAAGAAAGAAAGCTGAAGCTTCGGAGAACTTCACCTGGTAGATATTGAAGTTGAAAAGCAGTGTAGATGACTACCTTGAAATCGACCTATTAGCTACGCTTACACATATTTGACATTTACCGAATTCTGGGACTGGTAAAACTCTGTAAAATGAGAAGTGTAAATTAAATATAAGTATGACAGAATGTATGAGATCCGAAAAGATGAATTTACTTTATGTACATAAAGTATTTTAGGGCAGAAGTATCGGAAAGAGTTGAGAGTTTGTTAGCAAAGTTTGTTTAAACAAAAGGATTAGGTCTGATTCGTAAGACGATATGCAGACAGATGATTTTATTTGTAGCACCGTGTGAAATAACAAAGCACGCCTGGTGGGCGACCTTGGCGCAAGTGCAGAAACTGCAGCAAAGGATGCAGCGTATACACACAGTGTATACGTTGCATGACATTATTTCGCAATCTAGCTTTTTATTGACAGTCATATCAATAAGTTCTCTGAGAAATTTCTTGGAAAATAATGAGGCAACTAGAAGTATGGCTCAATATGGTGCTCCTATTTAATCTTTCTGGATATAACTCAAGCTAAAAACAACTGCCATCAAATTAGAAAGAAAGTCTTTTTGTGAAGTTAGTTTTGGTATGGTGCGAAAAATGTGATTACAGATCACATTACTCAAGAATCAGAATGTATAGGCAACAAAAGCGGTTTTTCGTGATGAGCTAAACATATTTAGTGTATGTACTTTCTGTGGGTTAACGGTCTTACTGTTGATAATTTAACTTAGGTGGATTGCGAATGCTTTCTTCTCCAGATAGTAGAGGCATTTCTCAGGACGAAGAGTATTGAAACTGAGAGAATAGCAGGAATAGTCGAGTCGAAGAGGAAAAACCACCCATTCGCCTGTCTCTGCAAACAAGCAATAGCCGAACAAATATCTGAGAATAGTAAGCAAATGTTGATATAATGAATTATTTCATAGAAAATGTTCCAACTATGACCACGGAAGCGTTCAAATTGTTTTGACCATTTTTCAAGCTTATAGTTGTAGAGAAATGATAGTGAAATCAGGCAATTAACGACCTTCTCAAATAAGCTTTGTTTTAATCAGCCTATCGGCAGTGATGTCCAAAATTTAAAAAAAAGGTTTAAATTAAATTTTATCAAAAACAAAATATAAAAATTTGTGGCCTCAGTTAAAATTTTTTGAAACTATTTAAATTTTATTCAGCAATTTAGATTTTTCTGAAGTCTAATTTTTAGCAGTTTTTTTGCCAAATTTGAGTAATATTTACTATGTTGAGAACAGAAATTGAAAGCGTTTTTTTATCGGGCATATATAATTGCAACAAAAATTTATTAATTTTGCCGTGTGGGCGCAGAATCTTTGCTGTTTCCGCTGAATTCTGAAAATGAAAAATATTTGACTTAAGCAAACGGTGCAATTTGGCGACCGATTGAAAGCCGCTCGCGCATTTTATTCTTGAAAAATTTAAATGGTTTGATCTAAATTCAAATCTTCCATTCAAATTATTTTTTTTAATGGAAATCACTGGCCTAGCTGTGAATTAAGTTGAATAACAAAAATATTGAGTCTTTCTTGAGCGGAAGCAATATCGTACTCGACCTCATTTTTCGTGTGTTCGGCGTAAATGATTTTGTGTTTCTAACCTCCTGTTTTTTTTTCGTTTCAGTTGCGACGATCATTGAGAGGAACGAAGCTCTTCACTCGCACCACTTTTCCCATCTTGAAAATGTGTTCGACCCTAACTTCCCCTCGAACAAACTCAAACTCTATCTCTGTGGCATATTTGACATCGACTATCGCAGTAAGAACTTACTATACTATGCTACAAAAATTCGGACGTAGCTTCACACAACTAGGCCCCTTTAGAAAACTTAAAACATAGTTAAAAGAACTCCAATCCAATGCACTATATGTCCTAATTGAGAACTCCAATCCAATGCACTATATGTCCTAATTGAGAACGCCAATCCAATGCACTATATGTCCTAGTAAGTTCTCAGCTGCTGTAGTCAAGAAAAAGTCAAGTTTTTACTAGTTATCAGTTGTCGCCTTTCACAGTTTAGGAACCCTCTTTAAAAGACTTCAATTTTGAAACTTTGCTAAATAGAACATTCTCTAACTAACCCAAGCCCGCGCGATCTAATTTTTAAGACAAGATTTGTTCAATGAGCAAAAACTGTTTCGAGCCCTGGTCTCAAATTTGTCTAATTTATCAGAAACATTTTTGTTGCAGATTTCAGCACCTCTAACAGACTTCGTTTCGACAAACTGAGTGGCGCGCTGGTCATCGAATTCATCGCTGCTCTCTGCAGTATCTCCTACAGAATAATCCACAACCACCCTACGAAGCCCATGCGAGATAGAGAAGATGTAGTGATTGCATGTGTACATACGGCTGACCAGTTCAAAAATTCAGTCCTCATTCCCGATTGGCTTGTAAGGCATGGGGGCTGGAATGGGGTGGCTGACATGACAGAAAGTATTGCGAGAGATGAGAAACTGGAAAGTAGCGAGAAAAATTGGAGAGATATATTGCCGGGAGCTGCTGTTTTGGCCTCCGGAATGGCAGCATTAGGTTTTGCGGTACTAGCAAAACGATAACAGTTTTGTTCCAAATTCCAGGAAAGCGAAGTTTGAAAGTAATTGAAGTGTAGTTTGTATGCTAATTTTGTTCTTACTGTTAGCATACCTTTTTTGAGCGTCCTTGGCTGTTCTATTGCTAGTGATGTTAGCTATATGTGACCCTGAAAACCTGAACCCACCTGTTTTCGAGAAAAATTTTGAATTTAAACTCACTTTTTGTTTGACATAGTTTATACCATACCAACATAGCTATTCACTGGTAGCACTAAAAATTAGACAATTCAAATATTACTTTGTATTATTTTGTTTTCTCTTAACCGCTCAACAAGCGAAAAGGGATAGGACTTAGTTTCATTCGAATGTATGCGCGAGAAAGTATAATTTTCTCACATGTAGTTGATCAAATATAATTCGAATGAGAAAATGATAAAAATAAATGTAATTGTTCTGACCACATAATGGGAAGAAATTTTGTATTCGGGGGTTTTGGTTTTTCCACCAGGAGTCCGATACCACAAACTGCAGATGAGTTCAAGTCATACATCATACTAAATCCCTCTGTCGCGATCCGATCGCTTGTAAGCTTTTCAAAAAGTTGTTAATTCAGATGTGAAAACTATTTTTCGAAGCTTCATTCAACGTTTTCACGGCACCAAAAATTTATGAACACTTTTTTTGTTCAATTAACGCAATTTTAGATTGTGTTCAGATTGAGTTTGAGTGTTTTTTTCTCATAAAATCAGACAACAGGGTTGCCACAGTGTCATCGATTTATGAGAAGCGTCATGGATAACAAAGTCATTTAAAGAGGTTAAAGTATCGAACATGAAGTTTGTAGCTTTTCCGTTTGTTAACCACATATGTTTTGAGGTGTCATTATATCTCAAGGCTGAAGAGAGAATTAATTCTGCATTTTATACTGAGCAGTAAAAGGTGAGCAAGCATTGAATTATCAAGTTTCGTAGAAAATGTCACGGAGAAGGACTGAAATTTGGGACGATGTCACGAAAAAGTTTTTTTTAAATCTGGGGTAATCTTGATTTTACTGACAACTATGAAAAAAGTATCTAATTTTGATTAGTGTTTGATTGTATTCAATCAATCATGGCGGAGATGCGAGAACGTGAGTCTCGCAATTTCTAGATTGGTGATGCGTGTCTGAAACTTTCGTTTTTCAAAGCTTAATTTTATTTTGTTTTCCTTATTTCGCTTTTTTCTTTTTCGAATAACTTTTTGTTTTCTCGTTTGCGACATGCAGCTGCAACTCTGTGTTAATTACAATTGATTTTAAGGTAACTAATATGATTTTTCCAATAGTAGTATGCAGTGTCTAAAAAAGTTTCCAGGGCGTAATAGTGTGAATGAACGAAGTGGAGGCACCTTTTTTGGTCCTGTTGACTTCTTAGTTGTTTAGAAAGTCTCAAAAATTGTTCATTCAAATTTGGTTCAATATTTCGACTTTCAGTTTTGATAATGGATTTACACTTAAGTTATTATCCAGCAAAATAAGAAACTACCTATTATTCTTTTTCTGGACTTGGTTGTTTTATTAACTTTCGAAAAGCAAGGGTATTGCAACCGGGTACCAGATTGTCTTTCCCTCGAGACCTTTGTTCGTAGAAATTGCACCTGAAAATGTCCGCGTTTCAACATACTTTTAAAAGATTTAAATAAGTCTGAGCGTTAAGCGCAGTGGAAACTTCTACGCTTCAGATGACAAAGGCCTGGAGTGCGAGTTCAGCTGGGGCCTGTTTTTTCAGTTAACAGAAAATGTCCGGACTACCGTCTGCCTGTTAATGTTGTCGTCTCAAGTCCGGCAGATCGGATTTTTTTGAATGTTCAGCTTTTTTTAGCTTGCCGAATGCTATACGTAAAATTCGTAATAGTGCAAGATTTTTTGTTCGAAGATTTGTCATGATTTTTTTGAGATTTTTTTAATTTTTTTTGACAAAGACATTTGCACGTAATCATTGTCATTTATTTTTTATCGTGATTGATGCAAAGTTCTGTTTTGCCTGTGTCGAAAGTAAATCATAAAAAAGATTCCTGAAACTCAAGACATGATATGTATTTTTAAAACTTCAAAAATCAGTGTTTTTAATGAGACTTTTGTGAGTTTTTCTGATTATTGAAACTGGTAAGGAACTTATTCTTCAGCCGTAATTTAGTTTAAATTTTTAGTTAATTTTACTCGCAAAATCAGGTACCATAAATGATCATCGGAGTAGGTCGAGTGATGTATCATATTGAAGTCCTTTCAGTCGTAATTCCAACAGCTAAAAAGTTCCAAAAAGTTTTTCCAGTGTCGAGAAAAACCGATTTCATTTTAAGTTAGTCTAGTTTTGAGCGAAAAAGTCCCAAAAATGAAAATTTTTATTTTAGTAGTTTAAAAGTTTGTTCCAGAAAACTAGTTTTGCCAGCTTTATTTAGCGCTTTCTTGGCAATGAAAAGTTGTAAAAAAAATGAGAACTAAGTTTTCTCCTATATTAAACAGCATAACCAAATAGTAACTACAAGGATAGCCGGTTAATGTGCTAGTAGCACAGAATGTTCCGATCATAGTCTTAAAAAATATAACAAAAAAGTTTTTTCAATTTATAGTAGTTTTTTCTGCGAGGTGTGTTAAAAAATATCTGAACGAAAAACTAGAGCTTAGGCATATTTGATAGCCATAGTAAAATAAGCAAATTAGTAAACAATTTTTGTAGAAAAATGACAAGAAAAAAAAATAATAATTTTTTAAGAATTTTTTTTGCAGTTATCTGAATTTTTTTGACAATTTTGTTTCCAAAAAGGCAATAAAATACTCAAAAAACTAACCCTAGTCGAGTAAAACTAAATTTTTCTCGCTTAGATGAGGCAATTGTTAATTCTTAAGCTTATAAAAAAATATTGTAAGCCTGCTCGCTCGCTTATTCGAATTAAGATGAAAAATCAACACTGGGGTAATTTTTCTCAACACTGGTACAATTTTTAGAATTTTTTGGTTCGGATCACGACTGAAAGGGCTCTAATATGATAAATCACTCAACCCAGTCCGATGATTATTTGTGGATCCTGATTTTGCGTAGAAAAAAAGTACACGCCCGTATACAAAGTTTCTCCTCATTTTCAATGGTCGGAACAAAAAGTTAATCATCGCTGACTGTTTGTTTTTTACTTGCGAGAGCAAGTGTCTTGTAATAGGAAACTCTACTTACCGTAACCAACTTTTTCCCGTAAACAATGACTCCCCTGAATTTTTTTCATGCTGAATTCTGATGACATGCTAAATATCTAGACATTTCAAATAAACCTTGTTCATTTGAGGTAATACTTTATTTAAGAGTAATGAACGTAGTGAAGACTTATATAGGTCTTGCTGATTTTTTTTTCAGGAAAAGTCTTAAAATGCTCTAATAACTACAGATGTGCATTCATAAATATTGTTGCTTTTATGTGTATATGCACTTTTTGACTTCAATTGAAATTCATCTGCGCAGAAATGGCGCAGAAAAGGTGAACGATTTCTACTTTCGAAAGTTGAGTTTAATTTTTAGATTTCCAGCGGAATAAAAACTTTGCCTGTTGATCCAGATTTCTCAAGTTGGGTTAAAGTTATCAAAAAGCGCCTATCACAAATTGTGCTAGAAATTCAAAGTGCTTGATGGGCATCTATTTTTTCTCCTTGAAATTTGAAAGTTGAGGTTTTTTCAATAAAAAGTCATTGTTTTTTGATGTTTACTTGCGTTCATTACTCTTTTTCAATCTTCGATTGGCTATGTTTCAATAGTATGTATTGAAGAAATGTTGTTTGTTTCGGGTTTGTGGTTTTCGTCCTGAATTATGTCGGCTGGTTTTCCACTTTCTCATATGCAATTTATATTATCTTTTCAATTGTTTATTTTAAACGTTTGGGTCTTTAAATTTATGATTCGAACAGTTCCTGTTTGATAAAAACAGCCAGGGGCCAGGCGCGGATGTAGGGGGGGGGTGCCCTCCTCAGGGATTCGACCCCCTGCCGACCCAAAGGGTCCCACCTTTGGTACTTTTTAAGCTATCCATTTTTGGCCGACCGACCCTAAAGTTTTTCTAAAGGCGTCTTTGGCGCCAATATATACTAACTCTGAGGGGAACGCGCGCCAAAAAGAGCATTTTTTTGTTGTTGAAATTTTCCATAAAGTGCTCAAAAAAGGCTTTTTTGGCCGGTTTTTTCAAAAGTTTGCCTGCTGCGCAGAAAATTTGGCCAAAACAGCGTCTTTTAACTGTTTTAGGAGAGCTCAGAAAATCAATTTGGTCGACCTAAAAAAAAAAGAAAAAGGTCGTCAAAATTTTCAAAGAGAAAATTCTTGATCCGCCCCTGAAAGCAGCTCTGATGAAAATTCTTGGGATATGTTTTTTGTCTTTTTTGAGTTTTTGGACGCTTTGGAATTATTTTTTTTTATTTTTTTTTTATTTTAGATATTATCAGATATACATCACCGATTTTCACAAAAGTGGTTCCAATGGAAAGACCACCCCTTCCCCTGAATGCCTAAATAATTGTCTAGTCTCTTTCTACCTTAATCAACTTTCTACAGCCGTCGAAGAAAAATTTGAAAGGAGTTTTTGACCCAGTTTATTTGGAAGTGTTTTTTAAAGAAAACTAGCCTCCCAAGATTGAGATTTTGGGTTTAAATGAAGGCACGGTTTGTGGGACGCTCCCCTGCGTTAGCGGCTACGCGCAAATATTTTTATTCAAAAAGTTCTGGTACATTTTTGATTTTTTGACCGTTTTTTGAAACTTTATGAATTGTCTCAAAAACTACTCCCCCATATAAGTGATTTTGGGTTCTATCGAAATAACTGGTTGTGTGAAATAACCTTGCTGCGTTCAAATTTTTTTAACCAAAAGTTTGTTTCGAAATTTTTTGAGTTTCTTAAAAACTACCCTCGCAAACCTATGATTTTGGGTCCAATCGAAAAAACTTGATGTGGGAAGCTCGCCTGCATAAGTGGATACACTCTAAATATTTACGCTTGCGATAATCAAGCGTTATCAAACTGGAATGAAGACTTTTTTTCTAGTTACACAAATTCTGTTGAATCAGTTAGCTAGGCTGTCAGCAAATTAGCTCGGCTGTGAACAGCTCGGCTGTCAACAGATTATCAGAATACCTGTCAACAGATTTTGTTGAGCATGTCTGAATTTTAATGGCCTGTTTTAAATTTTCTTTTTTCGCTTTTTTCAGCCTAATGATTTCGACTGATGCATATCTGTTTAGTTGCCTGAAAATTCATTGACTGAAACACCAAATTTTTTAAGT